CCCCCCCTGACATGACTTTCTTGGGGACCTCCATATTCACTTGCGTTGTTTGGGCCGTCAATGTTCAAATTGCCCTTAGCATGAGCCACTTCACTTGGATCCAACACGCATTTGTTTGGGGGAGTATTGCCACTTGGTACTCCTTCGTTTTCGCGTACAGCTGCTTTGCTTTCTCGGGCGATAGTTATATGCTCTTTCTCAATATCTTGCTAGAAACGCCTGCATATTGGATTACCACTGGTTTGGTGGTCGTGTTCTGTAATCTTCCTTATTTGGCTCATGTATCATTTCAAAGGACGTTTTATCCCGAGGATCATCACATAATACAGGAGATTAAGTACTTTAAGAAGGATGTTGAGGATCAACATATGTGGCAGAGGGAGAAGTCGAAGGCGAGGCAGGAGACAAAGATTGGATTTTCGGCGAGAGTGGATGCTAAGATCAGGCATCTTAAGGGGAAATTGCACGGGAGACCCTCGACACAATTCAAGGATTGAGGTTATTTGTAACATGAAGTGGATTTTTTTTTTGCCCCGCAGGTTGAATAACTAGAGCATCTGGGGAGAAGTTAGGGGATTAGATTTGCTAATGGCATGGGATGGTCGCAAGCTGTAGGCATATGCTCCTAACTAATAGAGTGGGAGAACTTAACTCTTTTTTTGTTTGGGGTAGCCGTGACTTCAGGGTTTGTCATTGTGAACATATTTTTGAAGAATATATTAAAGATTACTCATTCCATTCATATCTACTTGGGTAAATTGCATATAGACCCCCTGTAGTATTGTGCTTGTGATTCTGTGTTGCGAAGTAGTTACCCTTGCAGTTTGATTTTTGCGGATAGAGGCCCTCGGTAAATTCTTTTTGACTCATTTACCCTGGGCGAAATTTTGACAAGTATTATCCTCCAGTTGAAGTTAGTGAACCTATCGAAGGATAAAGGAGTAACAGAAGTCATCTTCAGTAATGAAAATTTGAACGGTTGCAAAGCCGCATCACGAAAGCATGACATAAAAGAGCATCTCTATGGGAAAACCGAATACCTTTGTTTGCTTTCTACAGTTACACCGATGATAAGAACCTTGAATGTTCTCACCAATTCTTACTTTCCAAGGCATAAATTCTCCCATTTGTGATTTTATTCTTACTTTTCAAGGCATAAATTCTCCCATTGTGATTTTTTCTAAACACCCATTGTGATTGCGACCAAGTACATGCGTGGTATCTATTAACTGCATTAATGATGCGTTAATGAAAGAATAATGTTTAGATCAGTATAGTATCCGGTGGATATGCATCAAAATGATGTCAATGTGCATGAATACCAAGATCCAATGGTACTGCCAAGGGTTGGCATCCCTTTAGAGCACATTTAATACCACAGACTTGGATCCTTATTAATATTTTCACATAGCATCATGAAGATGGGATGCGATCCACATGCCCCCAGATAAGATCCACGTCATGAATGATTGACACAGATTTTTAACACCCATCATGGGTGGATCGTGTGTTTTATCCTCCCCGAGAAAGTTTCTAGCTAGTAGACCTAGTTCGTGGCGCTAAACGTACACAAAAATAATGTCAAACTATCAGATCCGTGCATAAATTTTGAAGTCTAAATTCTTGAATTCGATCCTCGACCTTCTCTCTGAAAGTCTGAGTTCAGAGGTTGGGATTATGTCTAGATGTTAAAAAAATATTGAACCCGAGTATTACGGCATTTGATGAATGCTCATTTGCTCTGAATGTTAGTTAGTTTACTTTTTAATTTTGCAATAAAATGGTCAGCTATTAATAAACATGTGAGCATGAAGGCCTTTACAGTATAACAAAGGCTTAAAACTTTGTTCAAAGCAAAGAATAACTTTTACAAGTAGATGGAAAAAGTGACATTAATAAATTATAAATTTGCATTGAGTCGCCTGCTTGTATGCAACGTCAAATAACCGTGCGCCGCCTCTTCCACAAAACGTGAAGGGATCCTGCTAATGTTATCTTCAATGAGTTTTTGAGTTAAAAATAGCTCATTGTTTTCTTTCGAAAAACGCCGTTACGATCTCATTCCGAAGAAAGCCCGTTATAAACTAAAAACGGTGAAACAACATGCAAAATAATATGGTTTTTTTTTCCCTTTTATATTTTGTTTTATTTTTTCCACAATAAAATGTCCACGCTAGCTATCTGCCGATTCGAGTGAACGGTGGTTAACTACTCTTATATATTTCATTAATAAGAGTATAATGAAACATTTTAAAAGAACGAGAGGAAATTAAGCGCCACAAACAAACCGTGGTGAAAAAAAAAAAAAAATCAAGCACGCACAAAAAAAACCAAAAAAGGAAAAATACATGTAATTAAGCTAGAAGGTTGGTATAAAAATCCAAATCGGGGTTAATACCGTGCGGAGTGTAATAATCATCGTCAGTCAAAGTCAGACAAATCCTTGATTAAAAATTAAGGTTATACACTAAGAGACGATATTATGTTACATAAGCGCGCGCGCATGGGCTAACCACTGCACAGCACTCCGCGTTTTCGGGTGCTAAAAATCCTGACCCGACCCGACCCGACGTTGACCCGGACTAGACCCTGATCTAGCGGATGCAAAATTAATCATCTTTGATCCTATCTAACAGAGGTCAGATTTGTTTGATCAATTTTTCTTTAAAAATAAATAACTTTATAAAAATAAGAAAATGATTGGTTAAGTATTATACCCAATCTTGAAACTAGTTTATTCTTTTTATGATTTGAGTTAACAGAATATTTTGCGTACAAACAAGATGTTCTACGTACGTCCTTCTTAGCGGAACAAAGAGAGGCTTAACATTTTCAATATGAAGAAATTTTCACGGTAGACCCAATCCCAGATTTAATCTCTAAAACCGACCCAATTTAAATTTATTTATAAGAATCGACCCACTTTGAGTTAATTACGATACTAATTAGTCGGGGTTGCCAACCTCGACTAATTAGTAGCTTAATTATAAGCGGGGTCAAGGAGCAAGGAAGGTTTGCGGCTGCTAATTAGGCTACTAATTAGTCGGGGTTGGCAACCCTTACTAATTAGTATCGCAATTAACTCAAAGTGGGTCGATTCTCATAAATAACTTTAAAATGAGTCGGTTTTAGGGATTAAATATGGGATTGGGTCTACAGTAAAAAAAAATTTCTTTTCAATATCATTTCTGTAATTAAGGTTCAAAGCAATCTCTTTATATAATGAATGCTCCAAGATAACGTGGACTTATCATAAGGCTACCCTCACTTTTAAAGGCGGTTATGAATTAGCTTTTTTCACCACTAGAATAACCTTTTTGAAGAAATTACTTACATTTGATAAACCCATTGATAATCATATTGGATTGATCAAACATTATCAGAAAAAACTGATTTAACACTTAGCTTCTAACTGTACGAAACACTGGTGATTAAGCAAACCCTAAGGCCTCGTTTGATACGCGTGAGAGGGAGTAAGAATGGAATATCAATCATCACTTCTCATTCCTTTCTACCAAACACTACCTCTTTTTTGAAGTTGGATTAATGACTATTCTCACTTCTCATCAATTCCCACTTAGGGGCTGTTTGGTTGTTGTTGGTAAAGTTGTGTATTTATGACACAACTTGGAAAGTTGTTGTCCACCTCATCAATTTCATTTTTATACTTTTCTTTGTTTGTTTTTGATTCCATTGGAATCATAAAACACTTGTTTGATTTGCAAAATGAAACTTTAATTGTTTGTTTGGAAAGTGTAAAAAGTGGTCCCTACTCAAATGATCATATTGGTTGGAATTATTTTTTATTATTTTTTCCTAACTTCAATGTTAGTTTTCTTCTAAGAGGCTGTTTGGCTGTATGTTTTTACCATGTAAAAGGATGGAAAGTGCAAAAAAGTGGGTCCCAATGTTAGCTTTCATCACTTTCAATTGTTTGTTTGTAGTTGTGAAAATAGTGTAAAGTGATTTCATATGGTGATGTGGCATGTAAAGTGGTTTCATAAAAAAAAGACATGATTTTAGGAGAAAGTTGACATTGAAGAAAGGAAAAAATAATAAAAAATAATTCCAACCAATATGATCATTTGAGTAGGGACCACTTTTTACACTTTAATTCCAACCAATATGATCATTTGAGTAGGGACCACTTTTTACACTTTCCAAACAAACAATTAAAGTTCTATTTTGCAAACCAAACAAGTGTTTTATGATTCCAATGGAATCAAAAACAAACAAAGAAAATTATAAAAGTGAAATTGATGAGGTGGACAGCAACTTTCCAAGTTGTGTCATAAATACACAACTTTACCAACAACAACCAAACAGCCCCTAAAACCATGTCTTTTTTTCATGAAATCACTTTACAAGCCACATCAGCATATGAAACCACTTTACACTATTTTCACAACTACAAACAAACAATTGAAAGTGATGAAAGCTGATATTGGGACCCACTTACAAACAATTGAAAGTGATGAAAGCTGATATTGGGACCCACTTTTTTACACTTTACATCCTTTTACATGAGTATTCCTAATGAAATTAATGATAGGAAATGGTGAGAATTAATAAAATATAGAATTTTAAAATACGTTAATTCTTGCTCTATTTTATAAATTGCATCTCACATTAATTCCATCTCATTCCATATTCCATTCCATTTTCATTTCACTTAATTCTCACCGTACCAAAGGAGGTGCAAGCTAATTTTGATCTTAATTGTAATTTAATTAAAACCTTAGAAAAGGTCATGCGGAGCCTCAGCTCTCCAAAGATGTACCAAGCCGCCGCTGACCGGTCAGACTTCACGAGCTTTGACCGGTCAATATTTCCGCACTCCCTTCTTTCTCAGAAGATGTTCTATCTCTGCCACGTCACCCTTATTACAAAACCATTCCCCTCTCTCTCTCTCTCTCTCTCTAAAACCTGCAAAATCCATGCAAAACATATATAACGGCCACCACCTCTTTACACTCCTCTTTCCTTATTATTCTTCTTCTCTCTCAATGACTTCTTCTTCAGGGAGCTTGGAGACCTCGGCGAACTCGAGGCCGGGCTCGTTCTCCTTCACCGCGAGGCCCAATTACAATGAAGAGCCCGTGATGGATATGGCCGGCCGGGCCTTTTCGGGACGTATGGAGACTACTACCGCTTTGCTGCCAAACTTCAAGCCTCTTCCTCTTTCTTCACTACCTGTTTCTCCTCCTCCTGTGTCGCCTTCTTCGTACTTTTCGGGGTTTAATCCTGCTGAGCTCTTGGATTCTCCTGTTCTTCTCTCATCTTCTAATGTTAGTAACAAGGATTTTTCTTTGTCTTTGCATATAACAATGAGATATGCTGGAATATTTGCTCATAGCCGCCTATAAGTACTTTTTTCTCTCTCTCATGCATGCGGTTTACATCCTAATGTATACTGTAATATTTGTTTTTTAAATTTCATTACCATATTAAATGCTAGCTGAGATATTTGTTCACATTAACTTACATTAATTGAACAATCATTTTTCATTTTCTATGAATTGCTTGGGGTTGGACCAATCCTTATTTTCTAATTAAAAAGCTAATTAAAAATGAAGATGTTTAAGTTTTAAGCTATTCTCTTTTTTTTTCTAGATTCTTTTTTGCAAGAGAATATTGATTGAAACTCTTAGATTGATGGGTTTCTGATATACCTTTTTGTTTTTGTTTGCATTCAAATTATGTTTCGTGAAATATTTGAACTCTATACATATATATAGATAGAATTGATACCTTTTCTTTCTTGTACATTCTGCTACTTGTTATATAGATAAGGTCATGATTAAGGATAACCTCAATTTCCTTTTCATTATTAATTAATTTCTTGCACTTTTTTCTGTCTCTTTTACCTAATTTTCACAAGACAAGAATGAACTAGCTAAAGTGATTGCCCTGTTGTTTTCTGTTTAATAGATTTTGCCATCTCCAACAACTGGGACTCTAGCTGCTCAATCCTTCAACTGGGGAAGCAACTCTGCTCAATATCAGCAAGGGATCAAGGAGGAAGCTAGAACTTACTCTGATTTCTATTTTCAAACTCAAACAAATTCAAAGGAGGGGAATCTGAAGACATCATTTATCCACCCTTCCTCCTCATTTTTGTCGGTATATTTTCGACTTCAAAGTTTATAGTACTGATTCTGGGAAATTATACGTGATCATAGTCTCACATTTGGAAAACAAGTAGAAAGAGAAATAAGCTTAAATAAAAAGGCTAACTTATAGACGTGCCCTATGCATTGTCAAGAGTTAGCAATTTATTACTTATAAATCTATTTATTACTGATTAAACTTTCTGATATCCAAATAGAGTACTCTTTCTCTTAAATATATCTATAATATAAAGGGTATATATTCAAAACTGTATATATAAGAGAATATAGGATTTCTATGCAACACAGTAACATATATATCAGAAAAAAATCTCCTAATGTGGATACGAGTAACAAATAACAAAGAGATAACTAATTAAAGTCCAATATTGATTGAAGTTTTTTTTTCTAATTAAATTTGGTTTCGAAACCTCTACATGCATGCTAAGATTTCCTACATCTGATACCTCAATTTTTCTCTTGCAGGATCAATGGAATTATCCAGCACACAACAATTCTGCTACAATTAGGCCAGAAATCAAACCTGAGCTTGTTGCGCCAATTCAAACTAACTCTTCACAAATTCCAAGCTCACAACCCAGCATGACAATCAAAGAACAGAGGAGATCAGACGACGGATACAACTGGAGAAAATACGGGCAAAAGCAAGTAAAAGGGAGCGAGAACCCTCGAAGCTACTACAAATGCACATTTCCAGACTGTCCGATAAAGAAGAAGGTCGAGAGATCTTTAGATGGTCAGATTACAGAGATTGTGTATAAAGGAACTCATAACCATCCAAAGCCTGAGTCTAAGAGGAGGAGCTCTTGCTCTTCTTCATTCTCCGGTTCAGTTCGGTCCATGGGAGCTGCAGAAGCGTCGGCGATGGATTCTGTTACAACACCTGAGAACTCTTCAGCTTCTTTGGGTGATGGGTTTGAGGATGATGAAGCCCCCGATGCGAAAAGGTGGTAAGTAATTATTTTTAATAAAAGGTTAATTAATATACATTTTGTACATATACACATATTGGACAAGGCATCCTCTGCATATTTGGTTGAAGAGACAAAAAAAATCCGTGAACATTTGCATTCACAATGCGTTGGCTCATGTGAGAAAGAGAATCCAAATATTGTAGGCTATCTGTAGGTAGAAAAGAAAGATAAAGGTGAAGAAATTTATAAACAATTAAAGGAAAATGATATATCTAAATCACTTGTTTTACAGGAAGGAAAGTGAGAGTGAAGGAATATCAGGCTCAGGTAACAGGACAGTGAGGGAGCCTAGAGTAGTGGTTCAGACCACCAGCGATATCGACATTCTCGACGATGGGTATCGATGGAGGAAATATGGGCAGAAAGTGGTGAAGGGGAATCCCAATCCAAGGTGAGCATCGCTCCGAGCCTCCAACCGATTATACCCCTACTAATTTGTGCAATCAAACAATCGTCAAGGTCTCGGATTTTTCCGACATATATACGAAAATATTACCACTTCTTTCCAGTCAATAACTCAGAATTCATCATCTTTTCCTACAGGAGCTATTACAAATGCACAACAGCGGGCTGCACAGTTCGAAAGCACGTGGAGAGGGCGGCCAACGATCTGAGATCGGTCATCACGACCTACGAAGGGAAACACAACCACGACGTCCCCGCAGCTCGTGGACACAGCATCACCAGGCCATCATCAGCCGATAACAGCAACTTTCCAACNGCTACTAGGCCATCAGCCATGACGAACAACCACCGCGATCAAATGAGTAGTTATAACTCTTTGTTCAGCATAACGAAACCTAGTTCGTCCGCTCAAACGCTACAGGGTTCAGGGTTTGAGAACTCGATGGCTTTGTACATGAGCCACAGCCAGCAGCAAGCTCAGCCACAGCAACAGGAGAGACAGAAGAATGATTCGTTCTTGGAATCAGCATTATTTTGATAGTGTTGGGTGTAAATTTACGGTAGTATAAAAGATTTAGGCTCATTTGTTCATTTGTTTTGAGGCCGTTTTGTGCTGCAGAATGAGGCTTCTCTTACTTGTATCACACACATTATCAATAATTAAAGGGATGAATGACCTATAAACATAGAATTTTTAATGTTTTCATGTGTCATTAATTACATTTTGATCTTGATAGGAATAAGTAAGCAAGACCAAAAGCGATTGTTCTTGAGTAAACACAACAATCATAATCGCTTCGGGAAAACCTATGCTTCAGCATGAAGGAGTCAAATCTCTTGTATCACTGTCGATGAGATTGTTTCAGTCCATAGAGTGACTTACTTAAGCGACATACATGATGCTCCTTATTCTCATCCTTGTAGCCCTCAGGTTGATGCATATAGATCTCTTCATCCAAGTCTTCGTACAAGAAGGTCGTCTTTACATCGAGTTGTTCCAGCTCAAGATCACCATAAGCAACAATACTCAATAGCACCCGAATAGAAGTGTGTTTTGTTCCAGCTCAAGATCACCATAAGCAACAATACTCAATAGCACCCGAATAGAAGTGTGTTTCACCACCGAAGAAAAGATCTCATTGTAATCCGCAACAATACTCAATAGCACCCGAATAGAAGTGTGTTTCACCACCGAAGAAAAGATCTCATTGTAATCCGCACTCTCTCTTTGTGCAAACCCTTTAGCCACTAGCCTCGCATTGTACCTTGTACCACCGAGCTCTAAAGGATCTTCCTTTCTCTTATACACCCACTTACAACCAATAGCTTTTCTTCCTACAGGCAATAGGACCATCTCCCATGTTTGGTTTTTCCGAAAAGGTTACATCTCCTCCTCCATTGCAGGCAACTAACCCTCACTATCTCTATCCTGAATAGCTTCCTTAAATGAGACCGGCTCATCATCCTCCACCGAGAGTGTGTATTCTACCAAATTAACCTGTCCATAGTGCTTCAGGGGTTGATCAACCCCCAGCTTCATTACCTGCTTGTATGCTCGCCTTGGCCTAGTGGAAACCAAACTATCCTTGAGCTGTTATTGTTGTTGTAGTGCTTGTGTATTCTCCTGTTAAACCTCCTCCTACTCAAGCTCATAATCTACCTGATTTCCCACTTGAACATGACTAGAACCTGGTTGGTCTTTATGTTCTATGTCAATAACCTGAGACTTTGAAGTCCCAACAGTCCCAACGCCATTATCTTTGGGCGCCTTACCAATCATGGATTTCTTATCAAAGGTAATATCTCTGCTGATCACGAACTTTGAATCTTCTGTACACCAAAGACGATAGCCTTTTACACCATTTGCAAATCCCAAGAATATAGTCTTCTTGGCTCTCGCGTCAAACTTTTCCTTGTTGACGTGATAATAGACGGTACACCCAAAAATCCGGAGCTTTTCATAATCTACATGCTCCCCTGACCATACCTATAGGGTGTATCACCATCAAATGTAGAATGTGAAGAACGGTTCATAATATAACAAGCTGTAGCCACCGTTTCTGCCTACCATTCCTTGCCCAGTCCAACATAAGATCGCATACTCATTGCTTTCTCTCGCAATGTTCGGTTCAGCCTCTCCGTGACCCTATTTTGTTGTGGTGTAGATGTGATTGTCCAGTGTCTAGCAATACCTTTCTAATCACAGAACTTTTTGAAAGCACCATATGTATATTCTGTACCATTATCAGATCTTAGTGTCTTTGATTTCTTCCATGTCTTGCTTTCAACCATCTCTTTTCACTTCTTAAATGTCTCGAATACCTCATTCTTATGCTTAAGAAAATAAATCCAAGCATACCTCGAATGATTTATGCTTAAGAAAATAAATCCAAGCATACCTCGAATGATCATCTATGAACGAGACAAAATACCTAGAACCACCCTTGTAAATCCAAGCATACCTCGAATGATCATCTATGAACGAGACAAAATACCTAGAACCACCCTTGGAAGTTATCTGAGCCGAACCCCACACATCTGTGTGCACATAGTCTAATATACCTCTGTTCTTGTGATTGCTTTTCAAGAATTTAACCTTGTGGGCCTTCCCGTACACACAATCCTCATAAAAATCCATGCATGGTTTCTTCAGATTCTTCAGCAAACCCTCATTACCAAGCAAATCCAGACCCTTCTCTGACATGTGCCCAAGCCGCCTATGTCATAACCTTGTGTGCTCACATGGGTCTCCACCACTTCCTTCAGTTCCAACCGCTACATCTCTTGTCACCGTCGTACCTGAGAGAGTGCATAAATTACCGTGACGAACACCTTTCATCACTACTAGGGAACCCCAAACAACCTTCTTCACTCCATTCTCTGTAACAATCCTACAACCATCAGAGTTCAATCCACCAACTGAGATAAGATTCTTCCGCAAGTCGGGAACGTGTCTCACATCCGTCAAGGTTCGGACCACTCCATCATGCATCTTGATCTTGATATTACCTAGCCCTGTCGTTTTACAAGCATGGTTATTCTCCATCAATACGGTTCTACAATTAATATTTTTATAGGTAGTAAATCACTTTCTATTTGGGCACATGTGATAAGAACAACCTGAATCAAGAATCCACTTCCCGGAGATATCCTCGCCACCCGTGACGACATAGCATTCTTTCTCGCTCTCTTCCTCTGAAACATAGCTCGCTTCTTCCTTACCTTCTCTCCTCTCAGTCTTGTTATTGTTCTTCTTCCCACCTACTCTCTTACTTGGACAGTCGACCTTGAAATGCATAACTTCACTGCATTTAAAACATGGTCTTCCCTCAAGAGGTCTTGATTTAGATCTAGACTTTTCTCTCTTGCCTTTTCCTCGCTCATCGCCCCTTCCTCTAACAAACAATTCATGTGCTTGTTCCTTGTTACCACCAGTAGTTATGTCACTGATTGTAATCTTCCAAAGGTCATCCGCTAGAAGTATTGTTCTAGTCTCATCCATCGTTAAATTATCTCCCACAAGTATCAGTATTTGCACCAGGTTCTCATAAGACTTCGGTGGAGATAGAAGTAGTAGAAGAGCCTGATCCTCATCTTCTACAGTCACATCGATATCTTTCAGATCCGATATTATCCTATCGAACTTATTGATGTATTCCCGGATTGATAAGCCCTCCACCATCTTGCAAGTATACAATTTAGATTTTAAATAGATCTGGTTTGTTAGACTATTCGTCATGAAGGTGCTCTTTAACTTCGACCACACGCCCGCAGTCATTTCATCTCCATTTACGAAGAAAACTACATCCCTCTCAAGGCATAGGATAATCGACGTCCGTGCTTCCAGATCTAGCTCCTTCTAATCCTCATTAGACATATTCTTGTGCTTCTTCTCCTTTCTAGCCAAAGTCTTGTGTAATTTCTGTGAAATCAACGAGTTTTTCATCTGCATCCTCCAATAGAAAAAGTCATTCTTCATATTGAACTTTTCGATCTCGTATTTTCTAACTTTAACTGTTTTACTTGTTGATGTCATTCTCCGCTTGTATTAATAAATTTGTTTCTCTTAGAGAATTATCGAGCACCACCTCAAACCAGAAGCTACATCACTCACAATCTGAATAACAGCTCTGATATCAATTGTTAGGCGCAGAGTCACACCCTCACGCTGCAGAAGCGATATAACCCGAGAGAAAGCCCTGGTTTTTATTTTCACAAAAGCTCAAACCAACCTCTATATTCCCGTTTCACAAAGCTAACAATAATAGAAAGTGAAATATCTCAACAAAGTGAAATATACATTCTTCCTCTCATCAGTTCTAGGACTGAGCTATCGAGGGAACCTACAAACAATAGCCAACACCCAGAAAATAGTAAAGACACGATATTTACGTGCAAACTTGCCTACGTCCATGGGGAAGGGGGAGGGGAGATTCCACTATGAAGGAGAACACTAACGCTTGTACAACTCACAAGCTCGTCCTAAAGATAAAGCTATGATTTTTTACCCAAAAAATTCGACCTCTCTCTTGTAAATTCTCTCGCCAAGCTCTCTTTTTCTCTCCTCAAGATCTCTCTTTTAGATCTGAAAAACGCTCTGTTTTTTTTCTAAACAGCCGCCAAAAAACCCCTTTTTTCTCCTCATGCAGCTGACTATCCTCTGTTGTTTTTTTTTCGTGTAAAAAAATTCTAGTCGAACCACGTATTTATAGGATTGATGACTTGAGTGGGCCGCACCCGCATATGGGTTGCCTCCGCACCGGTGGATGTGGCCCTCACGTTCACAATAAAAAAATCAGTTAGGGGCTGTTTGGTTGTATGTTTTTACCATGTAAAAGGATGTAAAGTGTAAAAAAGTGGGTCCCAATGTCAGCTTTCATCACTTTCAATTGTTTGTTTGTAGTTGTGAAAATAGTGTAAAGTGATTTCATATGCTGATGTGGCTTGTAAAGTGATTTCATGAAAAAAAGACATGATTTTAGGAGAAAGCTAACATTGAAGTTAGGAAAAAATAATAAAAAATAATTCCAACCAATATGATCATTTGAGTAGGGACCACTTTTTACACTTTCCAAACAAACAATTAAAGTTTTATTTTGCAAACCAAACAAGTGTTTTATGATTCCAATGGAATCAAAAACAAACAAAGAAAAGTATAAAAGTGAAATTGATGAGGTGGACAACAACTTTCCAAGTTGTGTCATAAATACACAACTTTACCAACAACAACCAAACAGCCCCTTAGCGATCTGAAGATTGGGGGCCGGAAATAGGCATTCTTCTTGACTACCAAAACAATTCACAAAGTCAACTTTATAGCAAGAAGACTATAAAGAATAAGGGTTTAAATAGTATGAACGTAATAACTTCAGCTACTGGTTTTAGTGGTTACAAGAGATTTTTCTAGTGAAAATTTATTGTGGACAACCTTTATTGAATGCTATTAATTAAAAATATGGGAAGTATCCACCCTTTTATTTGCTCTTTCTTAATAACCAAAAAATTAAAATTAAAATCTGCTCTTGTATTAACTGCAAGCTTATCAATCTGAAGCTAAGATATTTTTTTTTTTTGAGGGAACTTCCCTACGATCCTTCAGACTATGGGTGTCAAACCCTTATGCGTGACTAAGGGGCACCCCCCAACGCACGACCTCCGG